CCCCACGCCACCCCCTCAAAAAATCCATCACAGAGATTTCGTAAAATCCAGTTTAAAACAATCTTTCGCTACGTCTATATTTCTGTCTAGTCATCTTCGATAATGTAAACACACACATATATTCCTCACTAATTAAGGTGATTTACAGGTGTGACGGATCACCTCATCAACAGGTAGACCTGCCCTGAAATACATCATCATCTCGTTATGTATGTAATTATACGTATAAATACCTGACGAAAACCGAGACGTTATCAGCCAGGCTATACCTAATGTCCTTACGTCAACAGTAATCGAACGCGGTCGAATTAGTGTCGGTGTGTATGTATCAACACAGAGACCGACACTAATTCGACCGCGTTCGATTACTGTTGACGGATGTCACGATATGTTTTTTTATTTTGTGACTTTTCAATGACATTGAGAAAGATGTTATTGTCACAAATTTGTTGCAGTATAAACAAATAACACGCAATACGTAATTCTATATTTTTTTCTGCAAAATGTTCTAATTAAGAATGTTAGTCTACTCGTTTATGAGATTAATGCATTTGATAATAAATACTTACTCATTATAAATTAACTAATTGAATGAGTTATCGAACTTGAAAGTATTAGATCTATCAAAATAGTTTGTAGTCAAGGGAGATAACACGAGATACATATAACATACGCTAGGTTCATGCTTCATATCAAGTTCTGCCTTAAATGCATTTTTTGTTGTTGGTTGCTCCAATGAAAAAAAATACAACAAATGTAATAATTTTCCTAATTACATACCCTAACTTCTCGAGGTATATTTTGCTTGTAGTCAGGTGGTGCAGTGGTTATTTTACCAAGACGTTCAGAGTTCGATTCCCCGATCGGACGTGAAAAAGTACGGGGTCACCTGCCAGACCATGTGGGTTTTCTCAGCGTACCCTAGTTTTCTCCCACTTATGACCCCATGCGCGCTATCATTTTTGCCCTCAAGAGAGATACATTTAAGTTGGAATACATTTTTTTCATAGTTGTTGTAAAATGAATAGAGTTAATATTTATTTCATCTCTTATGTTTGAATGGTACCCATGAAAGCAGGTAAATCGATCAAAATCTGACGACTCCGTCAGTCACAAGTGGACGCCTTCGGCAGAAAACATCTATAGAAAAATCCTTAAACAAACAGGATAAAACACGTTTATAGCAAAAACGTGCCACGATACGGTGACTCTTCATTGATTTACAATTGATAGATCATCTGATTATTTAAATTGACGATTATTATTATGTAATCGGCGCCAATACATCGTGAAGTCTTTTCTAAACTGCAATCGCTGCCAGAAATCTCAAAATTATAAATACTGTTCAAACAGTATAAACAAGTATTTAAATAAATGTCTACTACATTAATAGTTTTGTTGTTTGTCCGTTTGAGGTTTTTTCGGGGGGTTATATTACTACAACAGCCAATATTAAATGACGATAGTGCCCACAAAGTTTTGGACATAGCCGAATCACAATATCCTGACAACGGACCAACCGGAAGTGCCTATGGACATACTGCCGGGGAAAAAGTTTCTGTAAGAGTAACTAATGGTTATTTAACTCATCGTCAAGAAGACACAAACTATTTTTTATTCCGATTTTGCAGGACCCCCACATAAGTCGTTTAACACGACCACGCAGTGAGGTACCGCCAGTCTGTCATTTGTAACGCCCCGAATCTGCATGGGTTGAACAACTGCAATTGCATACACGCGTGTGTCTCTATGAAAAGAGTTACAGCAAAACAAAAATAATGATATGTAATTATCAGGCAGCATTGTTTGTTGTTTGCTGTGTCGTCATGCATGCGACCACACAAGTAATGGAATCGCCCACGCCCTCCCACGCAATACCCACCCGAATATTGCGAAATAGACTACGCTCATTGAACCTTCCTTCATGGTTTTCAGACGACAAACATTGCACAACTTTATATTTCCATTTTTTCGACATTTTTCAATGTGTTTTTTCTTTCTTTACGTCAAGTTTTTTGTTAGGAATTTTCTGTTTTACCCCTTGTGACCTTTTCTGTTGTTGAGACGTCAAGATAATATCAACCAATTAATCATGATCACGCACTTGTGACGTCATTGAGCAAACGATATTTTTTTACTTAGCATAACAAAAATTAAAAAAAAAACATAATCAAAATATGAATTACAGGTATAATGCGTTCATGTCAGTTTAAAAACACATTCGTATTTGTATATATTTATTCATAAGTCTCGAAGAAAACTTAGTACAAAGGTAATATTTCCCGTCTTTTATAGCCTGTGATATTTAATACATGATACTATTATAAAGTATGGGTAAATGCTGAGGAAAAAAATTTCAACGGGTTAAAACACAATTCGTCTCTATAACTGACAATACATATTTTATTTTTTGTAAACTAATCAAAATTGAAGGTTGACATATTCAGACTTTTGATTGGTCGGATGGCGCAGAGGATAGCACACTCGCCTTTCACCAAGGCGGCCGCGGTTTGACTCCCAGATCGGACGTGAAAAGGTTTTGGGTCACCTGTCGGACCACGTGGGGTTTCTCCAAGTTATCAGTCTTTTCTGACGTTAAGATCCCTGCACGCTTCATCCAACAAGAGTGGTTAATATGAGTTGCCAAATTTTGTTTCATAGTTGTAAAATAAATAAAATCTATATTGTATATCCAGACTTTCATAGTTGACTGCCCATCCCATCTTTGTAGGTAATTTCTCCAACGGAAAAGATACTTTAATAAAGACAAACGAACCAAAAATAAGGCTTGTCAGTACATTGTCTACGTGAGAATATCTACCGCCTACATTGGCATTTACGCAACGCCCACCGTGTCCGTCAACTAGACTAAATACTGAACTGATTTCCCAGTCAATGGGAATGTCAACTTGAACGTGAAGAACACATTTCAGGGCGCTATGACAACGCTTTATGTTGAATATTGTTCAATTCAATTCATTTTGTTCAATTCAATTCATTTTGTTCAATTCTTGCATGTACCATTTTTATTTCATTTTTTTTTATCTCGCAGAAAATTAAATACTCTTATCAAAATTCAGCTGTTGGCGGAAATTTATTTATTTTTTGAAGTTGATAAACTATGATGTTTGCCTTATTTGTTTTTAAAAGATATTTGTAAAAAATACATAATTATGTGGTATTTTGCCCTTTCTTTTTTTGGGAAAATTTTGAGGAGACTGAAATATCTTCATCTTGGTGACGCTACGTTTGACAGAACTACAAGCCATTAAAGAGTGGTGCTCATTCATAAAACCGTCCTCATGCTCACGCATGGATAGCATGGATTTTGTGCTCAAGCCTAATTTGTTGTTTCGGTTATGAATTGATAAAACAATCTTATTTTTTAAATGATTTGGAAACAAATTGAAGAGACGTAAGGCAGAAGACTGTTTTCAATGTTTACATTTGACTTTTTGATCGGTTTTTACATGATTTAAGTGAGTTGCAAGAATGTTTGTTTTAGCACAGAATCCGTGCTTGAGCATGTGAACGATTTCATGAAAACGGGCCCGGGAGTTTTATACCAATGAACGTTTTAAAGACGTGCTTAAGCATTGATTCTGTGCTCAAACAAACTTACTCGTAACTCGCTGAAAGGATATGGGAAAAGAAAAGAAAAAACTAACACTTAGTAGGCTTTAGGTCTCTCCAAAATTTCTTCCAAAGAAATGTCAAAATGTGTCTTTTTGTTAACTTATCACCGGAGCACCGAATTAGTCCTAGGAGGACGAACTAGTTGAGTGATGCAAGGTTAATAATTTTACGCACACTGTATCAGGTGCCAAATTCTGTGGGTGCACTTACATATGTGTGTAAGGTTCATCTTTGAGCATGAGATCTAGAATGGAATCATGAATAAGGACCCTGATCTAATTATTTATTTTTATTTATTTTTTATTGATGAGCGATCGAAATGAGGCCCCTCCGTTGTACATCTTCAAACAAACATATCAATGCTTTGTGCCAAAGAATACAAACATTTTCGTGATACTGACCCATAGATGTAAAACATTAAAAGATTTTGCATAAAGTTTGACTAACCAGATGACAATTAAAAGTGTATTTGTTGAAAAAAGGTACATATTGTAGTGGTAGTCTTATTTTCGCGCTTTTCGCGCTAAATTATGCATGTGCCAATTGAAGGTCTTGCATCTCGTTCATTATTGCATATTTTCGAGGCACGCCATTCCTCAATGCGCTAATCTATTAAAAATCGATAATGCGCTAAGATTTAAGTGCGCAATAATTAGAACTTTGACAGTAACATGACGGTGGCATAGTTTAAACCAAACCAAAGAACGATTTATGGCCCAATACTATTCAAAAATAAAAAAGTCATGTAGAAGTATTGGAAAACTTTTAATTGACATTATATGTATATGGGAATTTATCGTTAGTGCGCCTCATGGATTTCTCCATTTCCAGTTTGCATTCATATTGACTATGAATGTCACATTCATAATGAATATCACCATCATAATGACAGATTTTTTTTTGAACATCACAGAAATGACTTGTAAGATTAATAGGTTGAGGTATGTGCAGGTCATACTCATTAATATATTAGATAAGGAAACTTGATCTAGTCTCATAAGGAACGCCAGACGTCGCTTATCACAGGGTTTGCGCTATTTATAGTGAACATCTTATGCCTTAATGTACATATACAAAACACAAGTTACTTACATTCGGCTTGGTATGTACATTATGAATTAGGAAACAACCAAACGTGTAAATCGGATAACTTTGTTACTTAAATTTTACTGCATATCATATCAAACCGGTTTTAGGAAAAATATATGACAAAATGACTTACGATGAGTCAACGACTTAACGCATGTCTAATTTTGCCGTGCATCCAAGTGTTAACTTCAATTTGACGATCGACACACGATAGGATATGTTTTTAGAGGGAGTTGTTAGCTGAAGTTTATCTTTGTTTGGTTACTGTGTTACAGGTATCTGAGCTGTGACGTACTTCTGTAGGGAAACAGGTGATCTCAAGGACGCAGGCACCATCGCCATTACGTCTTCTAGGTAAGCATATCTTTAATTATTAAATAAATTGATATTGCATTACATCGATTCGTATGTCCCTCAAATTTGATCGATATAACATTTGCAAAGTATACCCGGAGGAATTTTCGCTGCAGTGAAATGCATGCGTTTTTCGGCCGCCATAATGATGGGGAATTTATCACGACCGCCAATATTACATATGTAGTGAGTGTAAACAGTTTTAATTAAGGCATCCAATTAACAATTGCTGACTATTTAGTTTACGAGTGAAGGGTGAAAGTTGTACTTGACGAACGTTTCCCAGTATACCGCAGTGTATTGCCCCAGCGTCATCTTGTCAAAACGCCAGAACAAAAAACAAAACTATTCACATGCAGATAGCAATTCGTATTTATTTGAAAATGCTTTAAGTGATGTTGGACGAAGGCTTTTGAGCAATACGATAATATATATGGCCAATCTTAACTACTCGTGTTGACGGTTAATTGTTCCTGGTAACACGTGATGGCTCTCTTTGAGCAATATATTTCTTTTCCATCATCGTAAATAAAAAAAATCTGTTTTATAGGCCATTCAAGCTTTGTTTTGTGGTCACCTGTGTATTTTTTTACCTGTATTTGACACCAAATATATAAAAACGAGCACGTCTTTCGACACGAAGAGTGACTTTAGGCCGTTCATCATCAGTTAACGGGCTAGGCCAGCGTATACACCACGGCAAGTCTTTGCTATTATATACAGAAAAAAGTTTTTTGTGGAGATATATATGATGAAAGGATGGTTTCAAAACATATTGAAATCATGTTAATTTTAGAAACGGAAAATCTATTGGGCAAGTATATTTAAAATTCACATAGAAATTTTGAATAAAGTTCAAAAACGTATTCAAGGCTACAACAGCAGATATCAATTCGCCTTATTAATGAGTTATATTTTCTTTTTATTTCTCATGATGTAAATAAATTGATTTGTATTGAGAACGACCTATCAGGATGTTTTTTGTTGTGATGTTGAATAAAAGCATTTATAAATATTGATTATTTCCCGGTTAGATCGCGAAAGATCACAGATAGAGGCATTATTCAGACCGCAAGGGCATTTGTTTGTTTTCTTGTAAAACTGTCAACTTTGATGTCAATTCCATTACAATCGACAGCAGACATATTGCATATATCGATTTGTGGGGAAAAGTTCGTATTGTGAAGAGTCAAAATGATAAAATCGAAAATAAAAAAAATGTCCAAATGATTAAACGTTGTGTCAAGCTGTAAAAACAATCGTGTTAGGTTTACCCACTGTTGCGTCAAGTAGGGCACTTCATTACATCTTTGTTGTTGTTTTTTGTCACATATGACACCTATAAACAAAAATGTTTACTTCTTACATTGAATCAAGACGTTCTCTTATGATGTAGATGTTAAACTGCACAAGCACAAAACAAAGAGTTTTATGATGAAGTCAGGCCACTCTCCGTCTTTATGTGAGATTGCTTGCAATTGATAGAAGATTGCTTCAAGTTCAAATCAATACTGTAGACCAGGACACTTTTACCCAGTCAAGCTTTTTCCCTACGCTGGTAAAATCCATGTTGCTCATTTCGCCGTTCACATTTGATAGCTATATTTACTATATTGGTTAAGTTATGTTCGTTCTGATAATAAATTCGCCATCATAACAGAGGGCGAAAAAGGCGAAAGTGAAACTGTGGCAAAAGATTTCCGGTACAGATTATTAGCGTAGTTTCGTTGAACATTATAATATTATGATGAATTAATGCTTTTTGAAAGGGCCGATTAAAATAATTACGAAAAAGACATGGCTCATTGCTTTCCTTTGACTAATATTCGTGGATTTTTTATTTTAAAGAAACCGGTGGTTTTGTTAAATATGTATGTTATCATATTTTTGTTTTTATTAAAAATGTTTGAGAAATTTATTGGTAAAATGTAACCATTATTTATTTTCTTGTTACTGTCCGCTTGTAAATAGTAGTATTTATCATGCCAGGTGTGACACAAATTTGTTTGTTTGTTTAGTATAACGGATAAGTGAATACATAAGTAATAAAATTCATTCGTAATAGGTAACCTTAAAAGACAGACAGATAAAAGACTTAACGCACAAATACGGGTGAAAGTTCTCCAATTGTATTTTGAATGCTTTTGAATATGTATCAGATACAGCTAATAGAAATAGTAATAGAAATAGAAAGAACAAGGGTCAAACTTCAAACCATGCTTGTTGGAGACAATTTCTGAAGTTATGTGAGACGATGTCTTCCAGGATTGACACAAGCGTAAATGTATTGGTGGTATTCCATTTTTACATTGCTGATGCTTTTGTCCCATCGACTATATTTCAACCAAATTTACCAAATATAATAATTCGATGAGTTTGCCGGATGGAGAATTTAATGCTTAAACATAACTGCTTCTTGTGTAATGAAGCTAAAATATGGGTTCCAAATAATATATATCCCCTAAGGTGAAACCAATGTCTAATGATCCTTAACTCTTTTTCTGCAATTATTGATAGCATTTCGATAAACATCAACAATTTCCTGCGTGGTTGGACCCATATTCATGACAATGTTCTCATTACCCAAGCTTGGATTCTGTGCTAATATCAACTTCCTACCTTCTCGCATAAATCATATCTCTCGGTAAAAAAGTCAAGTGTAAACATTTCAAACAGTATTTAGTTGAAAGTCTCTCCAAAAAATAATTCTCCCACAAACTGTGATTTTCTATTTATCGCCAAAACGAAGAATTTAAGATTGGGCACAGAATCTGAGTTCGAGTATGAGAAAAGATTTTATGAAGACGGGCCTTAATGTCAACAGGAACATTAATATTTTAATGTTTATATATGCTGCTGGGTTACATTAGAGTTGCTAGGCGTTTTTATTCGAAAATAATGATTTTACATAAAACATTGTCTCAGTTTTGGGTCAACTGTCTGCGATGGTTTCAGCACAGAATAGTGCAGGTATAGCACAGAATAGTGTAGGTATAGCACAGAATAGTGTAGGCGTATGGACAATTGATCACATTCTGTGCTGGCCTGTCTTCATGTCAGACCAGTTGACTAATACTTGTGTCTACTCTTCTTTTAGTAATTGTTATGAAGGGTTATCACATTTTCCAAACGTACCATTAAAAATATGTCCAATTAGGAATCCTAAATATCCCGTATATGCACTGTTTAGCACTGTTTCCTATTTATAGGACATACTGTAAAATGTTAACAGGAAAGGAACAATGCAAGAAATTGCATTTTGTAATTTTGTTAAAGGTATATGCTGGAGAAAAACACACTCTCCATTGTTACTAATTATAGTTTATTTCGGTATCTGAACGTCCTCTCAAATGTTTGTGATGTGTTGCATATGTAAACACTGTATATAAACACTGTACTGTTTGTCTCAAAGTAATAACGAACCAGAACTAAGAATGATACTTTTTTTTCAACGATAGATGCTTACTTGACCCTCTTAACAAAAATATAATAGAATAGATTTGTTTTCATACTGAACATGCCCCCTCTCCAATCATTACTTCACTATGTCAGCAAACCAAAGACTACATTTTCCTAATACACTTACGCATACCCCTCCTCAATATCATTTTTGTCAGATATTTATTTGATAAAACCATACACTACATTTTCTTAATACACTTTTGCATGCCCTTCCTCAATATCATTTTTGTCAGATATTTATTTGATAAAACCATCCACTACATTTCCCTAATACACTTATGGATGTCCCCCTCAATATAATTTTTGTCAGATAGTTATTTTATACTTTGCCACATTTTTCTACTGTATATTATGCGATCAGGAAGCTGATCGCCTTTCTTCAATTGTTTCTAAAAAAGAAGGTATGACATAAATATGTTTATCACAGGAAGAGCTAAAAGAATTTAACAGAACACCACGAGCCTCTGACAGTGACATAAGGATATTCGTGCCACCAATCTTAAGGTTTCCTGTGGTGGATTGGTTTAATTGGTTCTGTTGGATACTTTACATTATGAAAGCAGGATTTAGTTTTTTCTGCTCGGGTTGTCGGGGCTTACTTACGTGATTTCAAATGGATATTTCAGAAAGAAAATATATTTGTAAAGAATTGTTTAAAAGCAAACACCGATGGCCTATAAAGATAATGTTGCCGGTGGGTGCAAAGTACATCTAGGGCTACCAGGCAATGAACTCGACACACTTAAAAACATTTCTATCTTTTTGGATGAAAAAAAAGCTAGCTCAGCTTATATATATTTTCGGAAATAATTTTGTTTGTTTGTAAATTTGTTATAAGACATGCATCGATTGGTGTTTTTTGACGTTGTTGTCAAATGACGCTTAATTACAACGTATTGAACGTTTACTCTGGGGTTTTCTATATGAAAAGCATTAAAGTAACATGTTTTATCAAGCTTGACATGGGCCCCAAGTAACTTATACCCATCGCTTGTACCCTTGCTATGGTTGTCGTTTAAACGAGGCTAAATTACTCCTTACCACAACATCTAAGTTATGTTGGAACTAATACATATATTCGTGACGGGAAAGTTCATATCCAATTTATTTCAAAGTATGCTTTTAGCTAATGCCGTAAATTCTACTCGATGAATAACAAACCTGGCATTTATGAATAAGATTACTGCTTCTTCCAAAGAGAAAGAAAACATAAAAATAGAATGCAGAAATCGCTTTTGTAAAACACATAAAACAGTGTTTCTTGGTGAGTGCATTGCACAACACTTAAACTAAATTATAAATAATGCTTTTTCTTTTTTTCTTTTCAAATCAAATCAAAACTATTTAAAACTGTACCGGGTTTATAAAGAGACGATTGTTGTCTGAATCTGTCTGTGTGTGGGCGGCATTTGCACATTTTTTGGTTTTCTCATCATGAGAAATAAAAAATCTGGTCTTTATAAAAATAAAGATTCCGTCCTCGTTTAATATGAATTATTATTTGTTGATTGGAAATAACGTGAATATATACCAAGAAC